GGGGGGGGGGGGGGGGCGGAGGGCTGCACATTGGCATTCGCAAGGCGTCGGGCAGATTTGCATGTGCAAGGGGCGCTTGTGCTAGCGATGCTGCGACAAGAGTCTTTGCGTGCATAGCTCGCTTTCCGTTGCGCTGGTTTGCATCCGGGGTCTGCGGAAGCGTCATGCCAAGCCTTACTACCTCAAGGTGCCTGTCGCTTGCTCAAGCTGGAGCAGTGAAAGCGCAAACTACGTGAATGTACGTGGATCCCAGCGGCATACTCCACGTGCCCAGTGCCTCGCCCAGCGAGCTCAATGACCTGCGACACCTGGCAATTCTCACGCGAGCGACACCTTCGGTTGGAAAGGCTCCACTGCTGGCATCTCTGCTCCGAAGATCACAGCATCCATGCAAGTATCGCTTGGTCCCATTCATGCCTCCTTCTCCATCATCATGCCTGCCGGAAGAGTATGCGCAGACTTTGCAACTCAATGTGCAATGCTACCCACGCAACTGCAACCGTCGTTGTCCCGAAATCAGAACCTTGGCTGTGAAGATTGATCGGCCTGCGTTCCCCTTGTACATGGAGAAGTGCAGCAATAAATCCATGGAGAGAGTTTTCAGCGTCTGCGGACACTGACCTGAAAGAGTCCCGCTTTGCTCCGATGCTAGGCTTCCGAAAACAAACTGGGTGTGCCATTACGGGCTGACACACACTATGCTCCTTCTTAATCATGGACACCGCGACACAGGACACCAGTGTTTTAACACCTTCAGTGCCTGGAACGCTGCCATTGCGGTTGATTCTCATATGAAATCTTGAGCTTTCTGTCAGGCTCCACCCTTGCAATTGGTACCTGATCATCGGCATAACCAGAGCGAAACTTGGAAAGTGGATGAACTCTCAAAGAACACCGGAAATTCTTAGCTCTTGCATGCCGCCGTGTAGTCGAGGCCACTGACCCAGTGTGCCATGAGATCTATCCCAGATACCAAGTAACACTTGCTTCGAGGGACGAGACTCTAAACTTCGAAGGACTGCAACACACCAGGATCAAAGCAGTGAGTCAACCCGGGGCGGCGAGCAGGACTGCTTCGTGCTTCGAGGCCGTACATGCGACTTTTGTAGGTTTCCGGTAGCGCTCTGCCGAGCTCCTGGCTGTTGCACATACCGGTTAGCAGAGGCACCAGACCTGGGACATCAGAAGGACTACGCTTTGGCTTGACAGGTTTGCTTCGCAATCCTCACAATTGAGGGACATGGTGCTTTTGCTCGGCGAGATTTGTTCCGTTTCTTTTCCTGTGCTGCGCTGAGACCTTGGATCCCTGGGCGATGGGGCAGGCTGGGGTCGGCCTGCCGATGGGCCTAGGCGGCGGTAGGCGAGGGTGGGCCAAGGATAAGTTAAGAGGAGAGCTAAACCTAAACCTTCAACCCCGAGCCTTACACCATGTCACCAAGCCTCCCCTTAAAGTCCGGCCACACAGAAAGGGAAAAAGCGTGAGTTGTCCGCTTTTTTGGGAAGGGTAAGAATACATACAACAACCGAAGAACTTGACCAGCAACCGTCCCGCCTTCCCTGAGTCTGGCCACAAGCAACATTACCGTCTTGCCGTGGGTCACATTGAATGTGGAAATCAAGTGGGCCAGCTTCAAATCCTTTGCAAGCAGAGGTAAAAAAGAACCAACGAAACCTCCACTTACAGCTTGGCCACAAGCAAAGGGAGCAACAGAATATTTTAGTTTGTGGGCGTGTAGCACTAGAAATACGGGAGGGGCCAGGTCCAAGCCTCATGCAAAGGAAGACCGCCCTAAACCTCGCCTCAAAGTCTGGCGACAAGCCAAAACGTGTTTGCTTGGCCAGTCTAGGATGCTTGGGCTAGTGCTCTCCCAAACCCGAACCAAATTCTAAAGCCCTTAACCCGAGCATCAATGAAAATGCACATGCTTCGGCTAGTTTGGGGTGCCTGGAGGAATCCAAATGGTCAACACCTGAAGTTTGGCTGTTCCGAAAATTTGGCCAAGGTGCCATTGGTTTGGCTCGTTTTGGGTCGTTTAAAACACCAAAATCACTGACCTTTGGAATTTGGGATACCTCTAAACTTAGGCCTTGCAAAGCTCTGGGCCTACCTCCACCTTTGGGTCAACTCTATGACTCTTTGCAGTTGAGGAATGTCTCAGAACTTCAGACAGCACCGCAGGTTAAGGCAGGTGCCCATTGATGGAAACAGCTCCTTCCAAGGCTGACAGGGGTTGTGATTGCCAGGTAGTTGGGGGCAGAGAACATATGGACTAGGACTAGGACATTCGGGTTCCTCCATCTCGAAGTGCTCCCCACCGCCCAACCCCCATACAGGCATACTTAATCAGACGTGCCACTAAAAAAGCATAGCCGGCCCCGTACTGCAATCTCTGTAAGCCTCTAGTTGAGAGAAGCCTTCTTGCTTTTTGCAAGCTTCCTGACATGGCATGGAAACGCCACATCTGTCATGGTTTCCCTGGCAACGCACTTTCCTACGACGAAAATACGGCCCAAAGGATCGCCGCCAACGCGCAAGACCGCTCCCAGACTCCTGCGCTTCGCTCTCAACGGCGAGGCCACGGAGAATGGCAAGGGAGTACCACATGATGTTGTAGTTGGGGTCCTGAAGCACCGTAGCACCGTCGCTTCTCCACGCCGACACTGAAGCGGGTTTGACGAGGCACTCGGCTCGCAACTGGAGCAGTGCTCCGTTTCTCTCACCGTGGAGCACCCCCGCGGCTGAAGCGTTCCCGGCTCCTGCATGTAGCCCCAGATGATCTCGTAAACCTTGCCGGTGGGACACAGTCAATCCGAAGAACCAGGGTGCTCGCGCAAGGAGCTGCATGCGGCGTCTGCTCTTTCCGAGCCTTACGGACTAAGCCTGATAGTCCTGGAACCCGGCTCGAGGTTCCAGCAGTTCACGGCCCGTAGCGTCATTTGCGATAAAACTCGAGCGAAGCTTAACCTGGTGTGACCCTCAATCAAGCAGGCGTAGTTCTTGGTGAACCCGGCTCTAACCATGGCCCTCGCAGCCTCCTTTCCCATCATCCACTTCCGGTGCCAGGGGTCGGCAGTCAGATTGGCCAAGCAAAAGAGGCAGTTGATCCTGGCAGAAAGGGGGGCAGCGAGCCGTGAGCCCGTGCGTCTCAGCGCTCTCTCCCCTTGCAGAAACCGCGTAAGTGGCTCCCGTCCTGATCTCCTCACGCTGGGTCTGCTTTAGGATTGTGAGGATACCGTCCGCAGCATTCATCTGCTGGAGCTCGTGCCACATGATGTTGCTGCCTTGGGTTACTTGGAACAGGCTGGGACTCCCGTGTTGCGTACCTCGCACCCTGCAACTCGTTTATTGCCAGATTCTTGCGACCAGCTGCATGCGAAGTTCCCCAGCGCATTGAGGACATAAGCTATCACCTTCACTAGCGCTTAAGTCTCATTGACAGGTTGCCCTCAAAAGCCGAAGCTGAGGTCACGTGAAAGAATATGGAGATGCTGCAAATGAACGTGGACATCGAGTCCGAATCCTTGCCTCCTGGACCTCCTCGCTCTGGAGAATGGGCACAAGATGCCTTCAAGCAGTTCCAACGCGGTCTGCCAGAGCCGGAAATTGACAGGCTGTCAAAACCAACCAGAACCTCAAGCGTGCCTATCGATGCGACTGGCGGCTCCCACATATTCTTACAAAGCCTTCACTGTTCCACAGGCCGCCTCGCCTGAGCACTTCCTCCTCTACAAGCTGCGGGTGCGTGGCAGAGGATGTCGAGAGATTGGCGACAGCCAGCGCGGCGTACATGCGACAATCCTGGCGCACGGAGAAACTCAAGCGGGGCCGGTATGTGCTACCATGAAGGTTGTACGATGAAGCTGTTTCTGCTTGCAACTCTCACCTTCAGCACGAAGGTCCAGTGTATCACAAAGCATACGCACCACGATCTGAACAAGACGCTCTCTCTTCGCCTGCAGACCTCAGAGCTTAAATCTGAAAACTCACGCACACACATACGAGTACCAATCAGCCTGCTCGAGCCACTTCAGGAGCCTTTACTAATTTAGTGGGACTCGGAAGACACCGTGACACCCTTATCATGGAGCAACCTGAATGACTTCCAGTTGCAAGTATATACTCCCTGCCAGATCGTGCCTCATCTAGGGAAATGATCAGGGGCAGGATAGCAGTCCGCCATCCGCCTCTCTGCACTATTCGAACCTGTGGCAGCTTCCAAGCTTCCTGGCTTCACTATGCTTCACTGCTTGGTTTGCCAGAAGCCTTGGATCCTCAGCTCTTGAGCCATTTGTCCCTCCAAAATTCACGAAGAGCCTGCTGCACAGCCGAAATCCTGTTCGATCGGGCCTGAAACGCTCGATTTGAGCACAGACTGGCCAGGGTCTTTATCCCATGTCGCTTCTCCTGGCTGTCACAGCACGCTTTCAAGGCTGTAGAGACGGAAAGGCAAGGCTTCAGAGCACTCGGGCTTGACCCCAAGGTGTTGCTCCCTGACTATGGACCCAGGCCGAGTGACAGTGTCTGGTTCCGCCGCTGGCTTGCAAAAGTTTCACTGAGTCACACGGCTTTTCCTTCTTTGCAGGATGCTCTCTGACCCTGGCAATCCTGAACCCTTGCCGGCCTTTACATTCTTTAGCACGCGCAGTGCTTGGATGAGTTCTCCATAGGACCTCTGCATCTCGAGTCGGATCCCGAATGGAGCCTTGCAGCCCTAAGCGGTCCACGACTTGCTTCGAAAAAAGATGCGCAGCGCTGCAGGCTTCAGACTTGGCTGTTTTGCTGGGCTAGACTCAATGGACTGGAGGATGCGATGAGCTCGATCTCGAAACCTATCTCCAGCCCAAACCCAAGCCCCCACACGTCTGCGAGTTCAAGTTCAAACCCAAGTTGGCACTTGGCCCCGGACGACATCTCCGAGAAGTTTGCACGCAGGCACTAGCACCCACACGCTCCGCTCGTCGCTCGGAGGGGTTGTGACACCCCTCGCCTGGGTCGCCGGACCGTGAGACTGGGATTTTTAGAAAGGGTGCAGTGAACTGCCATGAAGTCGCCGTTGGAGTTTGGCTTGCACGTTCGTGCTTACAGCAAGATGCAAGTCTCAATGCTCGCAAAAGCTATCGGACAAGATGTGAATTCCACGTGTTCGTGTTTTTCGCAGAATTCCAAATCAAAAGTAGTCGGGCTAGTCTTAGTAGTCATTCTGATATGCGACCTGCACTGCATGTACTGAGGCCTTGGCAGGTCAAACTTTTTCAGTCATCCTCGCTGTGGCGCACTACCTTTGAGCACAAACCTCCGCGGACACACATGCTTGCTCCGCTGCGTCCATACACACTCACTGTCAAGGCAACCCCCTAAGTCGTCATGTTTTTCCCAGACAAACACTCCAGGCCCGTGAAACCAAGTGCCGGCCACAAAGCCTTGTTAGAGTGCTATGCAATACAGCGCAGGCATTTTCAGTGTGTGATGAGGACATGATGAGGACAGCATGGATGCCGACCTCTGTGGCTCTCATTTACTCGGAAGCCTCAGCAGGCGAAACATCTTTGCATTGGCCAGTGCGTCACAGCTCTTTTCTGCTCACTTTCAGCTCTGTCCATCCTCTTCTGGACAACGGCTTTGACGGAATACGGCTGCCAGCCACAGCTGGCTTCGTCATCGGCTTGGAATCGGAGGCGGACCTGCCTGGCGTGGACCTTTCGTTGCCCATCAAGTGAGTGGCTCCGAATGTGGCAAACCTCCCTCCCAGATGGTCTTCATGCCGATTTTGTCGTCCTGTCGATCCACGACCTGCGCTGACAATTGCCAACAAATGTATCTGACTCACCTATGACCTTGCTGCGTCATGTCCGAGCAAGGGCATTTGGGCCCTGCGCCACTCCTCCTGTCCGTGCCGGCTTGAAGAATCGAAGTACCAGGCTCGCTCCACGTGAACGTTGCGGCATGCTGGGCCTCGGATGATTTCAGCTGAAGCGAGCTTGGCTTCGTCAAACAAATTTCGCATGCAAGCGGAATGCAGGTGCCTGAGATCGCTCGACTTGGCGTCAGGCCGCGCAAGGCCTAGGCCTGGGCGACTTGGAAGCTGAGCTTCTTGATGGTGAGGTCCTGCGCGATGCAGTCTCAGAGAAAGCCCCGGGGCCCTAGGCCCTGGTTCGCGCTTTCAAAATCTTGCAGCTCCACAGTCAGGATTGGAGCCCTAATCGGAAGCCTTGACACACAGACTCCGCCTTCAGAACCACGAATCTGCGGTAGCACTTGAAACCTTGTCGCCCCAACACCCAGAGCACTGCCTCCGTGTTGACGAGCAGGAGGGCCGGTTCGACCGTGAAGTCGGGGATGCAAAGAGCTGCCACCTCTTCGCCCCCAGGAACCCGATTCTGTGGCACGAAGACGAGGCTCCGAAGAGCCGGGCCCAGGCCTCAAGAGCGCCCCCAAGGAGAGGCTCGCTGAGCCGCTCCTTAGTTGAGCGCAACAGAGCGCAGCCCGCAGCCCGCAGCGCTGCTAGCCAAGATGCCCAGGCGGCCGACTCGCAGTTGCCCGAGAAGAGGAGAACTCGACGAGCCTGGGCCTGGCTAAGCGCAACGGGAGGGACACTGCACCTCGCTTTTGCTTTGGGGCCCTATGGCGCGCCTCTTGTGGGATGACGAAGGGATCCAAGAGCCTCAGCTCGGAAGCTCTGCGAAAAGAAGGCAAGGCCAACGAGATGCTGACCCAGAGCTCCGCCGGAAGACCTCCGACACGACTTGAGGCTGCAGGAAGGAAACAATCCAGGGATGCAGTGTAGTCAAGACGTCAACAACGGGAACACCCTCTCTGAGAAACCACAACCTAATTCGTTGTGGAAATCGGTAACCCGGGTCCAGACTACACTCAACGCTGCGTTCAGGCCTGGAGGCAGTCTCTGTCCAGAAGGAACTCAGGCCATTTGGGCGCCAAGTACTGTCGACGCCTCCGCAATTTGAATACAAAAGTCTGAAGGCTTCTCAACAGCCGAAACCATCAAAGCGCCGTGGACCTCAAGCCCTCCATCCCGAGCTTCAACCACGAGATGCCAGAAGCCGCCACAAGCGGAAACAAGCCCCACAGGGATACGTAGGACAATCACTAACCGCTAGCGGGCCAGCAGTCGAGCAAAGATTTCAGTGCCGTCGTTGGCTCTGAAGCATTGCCTGGGACTGGGAGGAATCAAATACTGAGACAGTGTTTGATGGTCTTGCCGCGGGGCGGCAGGTCATCAGGAGATCAGGCACCAATGCGAATCGCCGGCTTTACAGACCCGACATCGGCTCTGATTCTGGATTGCCGTGCGGCATTTTTGATGGAGACATGACCCCAAAGCCTTAACAGATCTCCAAATCCATCCACTCTCTCGCACGACCTACAGGCTTACGGCGAGGCCCTTGCGGAGAGCCAGATGCAATGGCTGGCCAGCGTGGCCAACAACCTCTCCGCATGCGCAGAGGTCCAAAGCAAAGCCTCCAAGCCCAACTCGTAAAGACCGGAACTGAAGCAGGTGAGGATGTAGGCTGAATCGTTGCATTTCGAGATGTATAACTTCCGGCTTAACACTAGGACCCGAATGCAGCATGAGTCCAAGGCAACCCGCGCCTGCAGCTCGCCCTCTGCGCGACAAAATGGATTGGTCCAGAGCTCGAGGTTTCCTGACCTCCCCAGCTCAGGGGCACAAATTCGCCCAAAAGCCTTTCAAGCCTTTGTCAGGCTAATGCTGAAACTGCAGGCTGCCGAGACACCTGTATTGCTGCACGTACGGCTAGCCAGTCTGAAGCCGGATGAGATGCTGTTGCACACGACCCTGGACGTCTCTCAACAGCCTCCGGCTTCTTGGGAAGATGGCGAAGGGCAGGGCCGGCTGAGGCAGCCTCCGACAAATCAGGTGACCCGGGCATGTCTGTCATCGATACCTCCGGATCGAGGACCTCCCACAGCTCTCTCCTGCATCCTAGGCAGCGGCGATCTGCAGAGCCTTCTCGACACGCCGCAATCGCCTGGCTGCATCTTGTTTCATGCACCATCGAAATGCTAAGCTCGACTACAGCTTTGGCTGGGAAGCCAGCGAGGGGCAAGAAGCGTTAAACACTTGCACGATTCTTTGAATTTAACATTGCTTATACCCAAGCTCTCTAGCAATGATCTTCGGCAGCATTTCCTTTCTGCGCAGACTCTTGTCTTGACATCTCTGTACCACTCTGCAGAGCAAGGTCTCGCCACAACAACACAGTCATGATACTTCTGAATTACCCTTGGGCTTACTTTGTGCAAGTTCCACTGTCTCATGTTCACACAGTGAAAACGACACAACCCGAAAAGGAGAAACGCTGAACTTAACTTCTGATGTCTTGGCACATTATATATCTCGGCCTTCTCCACTCAAGATGCAGAGCCTGAGTCAAAGGCGCTTTTCTTCCAGCCGACTTCGCATGCATTGGTGTGTCTTCGGGATTTGTGGTCGATGATGTTTTCTGTCGCAGCTTCCTTGCCCTGATTGTGTTACCACAACATGCTTGAAACACAACTGGTCGTGGCAGGAGATCATCGTAGGAGATAGCGTGATTCTCACATTCATAGACTCACGGCATTCAATGCAATGCCCTGCTTCGACCGAAGCAGGCCCGACAGACCAGGCCCCATGCTTTAGCTGGCAGGAAAGAGGCGCGAGGAAGAGGTCGGCCTCCGGAAAACCCTCGTGAAAGCTCACATCTGCTCAGGCTTCTACTGGCAGCAGGTCCTAGCAGTCCAAGTACAGGCGCAGGAAACAAACACAAGAAACCAAAGTACCCTCCGGTTCGGAAAAAACCTCGGGCCTGGGCTGCCTGGTAAAGCTGAGGGCTCCTTTCCAAAGCCATACACATAGTACGACACGTACTCCCTTTCCAGCCAATTACTCGCACAGACCTGGAAGTTCTCAAACCCTTTGGGTTGGGGCCTCGTCGGCAGCAGCGGCAGCGAACGATCTCTGGACCTCAGCACCGAAGCCGTGATGGTGATGGTCACTCTGCATGCCACATATGCCGCAAAAAGACCCGGCTGGCTTCGTCTGGAGCCTACCCAACACTGTTTCCCTTCCCTCGAACCAATAGCTGATTCTGGACAGGCAGAGGCACCCTGTCCCAATGCCTCAAGAAACTGGATACTCTCCTTGCAGGAGCTGCATTGCCCCAGCTCCAGTTCGCAACGAAACCTCGAGCCCTGACATTACCCCGCCCGGTTTCTTCGGGCCCCAGCTCAGCCCCGTAGCCCCGCCTTCTCAGAAGGCACGCGAGGCCGCTTGGGCCGCCCAAGGCCTTGCTTGGAAGGGCGAAAAGAGGAACCTTCCGAGAGGCTCCCAGATCTTTGAAGTCCTCTAGATCTTTGAAGTCCTCTGCGGGTTGGGGACCGGGGACACTCTCCCCAAATCTCGGAAGTGGTGCGCTCTGTTTTGCCTCGCGGCTCTCATAAGCTGCTGCAGAGGTGCAGGCCCCATTTTCTGGGGTTCTAACTGCAAAACTAGGGGTCGAAGTCTCAAGAGTTGGGCGGAAGGCTCGATGGTTTGGGATCGCACATGCCCAGGTCTGCAGCTTCGGGTTGGGCGCAAAGTGAGGCGGGTGCAATACTCCTGGCGTGTCCGTGTGAAGTGGGCCTCAGCTCAAATCTCTGGCTGAAGTATCCTAGAACCATGGGGCATCCGTTGTCTGAGTCTTGGCCACTTGAGCTCTAGGCCCAAATCTCCGGCTCCGAGATCTGCGAAGGAAGCTCTACACTCTACACGCACAGTGTCACTTCTTCGGCGCCCAATCCACTGCCGTCTGCATAGAGCTTGAACTTGACCTAGAGTTGCATAGCGTGGGTCCAGTATGGCCCTTCCCGGATTCTTGATAAGACCGGAACAAGGCAAACTTAAATCGCTGGCTCTGTAGAAGTGATGTGACGGCACCCGAAACAAGACCACGCACACGGGGTTCGGTCAGGCTGGCTGCAAAGGTCTGCAAGCAACACCTTCAATTTTCCAACCATCCCTGAAGTCTCCATCATAGCTCGGACTTCCGCATGAGGATCACCGACCGCGAGAGCCCTGCACAGCCCAACGTGCGCGGCCTTCTGACCTTCAGCCAGCGCTTCCGGCTGGCCCTCGATGTCTTTCCTTGAAATCGACACAGACGGCTTGGAGCTCTATAAACTAGTGAAGACAAACAGGTCCAGTAGAAAGTTCAGGAGAAGTGACCACAGCGCCAGCATGTGCCAGCAAGAACATGAGAACCTGTGTTGTGTTCGGAACCCAGCCCCAGCCTGAAGCAAGACATGCTTTAAGCCTAGGCACCTGTGCATGTAGATCTTGCCGTCTCGCATGCCCTTGGCCTGATGCAAGCATCAAATCTAAGTGCTGTGAGGCTTCGTCACGGGGCTATCTGGGACTCTAGATAGAATCTTGGTGTTGACGTCCTTCGGTCCTTTGTTGCATTGGTGCTCTCATTGGTGCTCTGCTCTTCCCAGCTGCCTCGTGCTCGAAGTCGTGGTCGGTCTTGACCCAGCCATAGTGTCCTCCGGCACTGTGTGTGGGTCAGCCGGAGCTGAAATGGGACCATGGAAGCATGCACCAACCGCAGCCGAACCTCACACACTCCAGCCGAGAGATTAGCAGACTTCTGTCCGATGAAATAGTCTAACTCTCCGGTCCCATGAACCGGTCCTTTCCACTCGATGAGCTCCCCGAGCACGTCCTCCTCGATGACTCGCTCCCGCGTATTGTTCCAAGTCCACCAGTTATCTGCAGAGGTGTGGAGGCATAACAGCACACAAAACCCTTCTGAACTGAAAGGAAATCCGTGCCGAGTAGCTCATCATCTCCCACATCGCCTGCACGTCCCATTTTCCCTTTCCTTTGCCCTTGCCTGAGTGCAAAGTGTGCACGATGAAAGACAGATCGACGCATCCCTCCTTTCGGAAGACAGATCCGAAGACCGACTTCACCCGAATGATGCAAGAAAGCTGCCTTTGAACTGCGACGCGAGCTCTTGCAGCTTCTCATCACCTCAGACGCCGCAATCAAGAAGTTCAGCTTGTCTTGGAGCACGAACTTCTTAGTCTTACAGATTTGGAGAAGCGGCTCTCTGGCAGGGTTGAACCCGTCAGGGTCCGATGCTGTTTGCAGCTGTCACAGCAATGCAAAAGCTGTGCAACACATCTTCCTTCTCACTCACAATGTCAAATGATGCCCCAGGCACCCTTGATGTCTCCCAGGGCGATCTCGGCTGCCGACTGTTCCGCCTGCAGCTAGGAGCAAAATGAAGCGAAAGTTTCAAAATGGTAGAATTGCGTACACCTGTCCAAGCCCTCAACCCTGGGTGCGAACACCCCAAAGGAGGAAACAGAGATTTGAAAAGAAAAAGGCACGACCGGATAACCGCCAATGAAACCGGAAGACGCGACAAGATCACCACTGAAGCGAAAAGGTGTAAAAGCTTCTTACCGATTGGTGACAAGGACAAACGAAGAAACGGTGACTGTTATTACCCCAAAACGGACAAAGCTACCCTTCTCCCAGTGGCTGTCTTTCCTACAGCAGCGACCAAGCATCCGCGATCTCCCAGGTGCCATTTTTTGCACCCGAGTGACCATAGCAACCGTTAGCAAGCTGAAAGCTATGCCGAAATCGCCGGAAAGCACAGCGTCCACTTGCCTTCTGCTTGTTGGCGCAAAGGTGCCCAGCCCAGGCGCGTTGGCCCCACTCGTCTGGGAGGCTGGTGATCTGCACCTTCCGTGTGCGATCTTGCTTCGCCGTGGGGCATGATCTGTCAGACATGAGCATCAGCCACAGCTACTGGGTACGGCACAGTGGCTTGGTACTGCGTGCCGATTTTGTTGCACACGTACACCTGAAAACAAAGGAATGCATCATAGTGGCTAAGCCTAAGCTGTACAGATGCAAGGTGATGCGCGTTCCTCCTGCTTAACACTGTCAGCCTGACGTCCGAAAAATGCATGAGACAGCAGTCCCACAACATCCCATGCTTCGATCTCAAGCCAAAACCTGCCAGGGTAAGCAATGGCCCAGGGACCGTCTCTCCCTTCTTGAGAAACCTGCCAATGATCTTCCTGGGCGGGCGTGTGTGAAACGTGCTTGAAGCAGCCAGGAGTGTTCGGACATGGTCGTTGAGTCGTTGCCAGTGTCTTGAGACTGTAGGCTTTCAGGTTTCAGCCTGAGGCCACGGAGTCGAGGCTGGGGCGGAGGAAAGCGCAGTCCGTGCAAATGCCCGAGGAACCCCTGAGCCGCTGGCATACAGAGGCTATTGAGCTCCGTCTTCGGAGTGACGGCGGGGTTTTCCCCTGCCCACGCGGGGGCGCTTACCGGTAGAAGCCCCACAGCAACAGCAGCGGGAAGCAGCCTCGATCGAGCCTGCCCTGTCCGTTTTTGGGATCAGGTACCGGTGTACCACGCGTGAGGATGGGTGCGAGCTATTCGAACGAAGCTGCGAGAGGGCGGCGCGTCCGGAGTGTTCGGGGCGATCAAGGCAGTTTGCACTCACAAGTTCGCAAGTATTCCACCAACAACAGTGACTAGGTCTGATGGGAATATCGATCATGCTAGTGCCGAGAAGACGCGCCGGAAAAACTCACGCAAATCACTTGACTGAGAACATGAGATCAAGGTCCAGGTCGTCTCAGCGAGTCATGACCTGTGCTCAGTAAAAAGAAACGCGCCTCCTTCCTGCTTGGCCTTTTTGGCCTCACGCTCCTCGACAGCTTTCACAGACTCAAATGCGGGAGTCTAGGCTGCGGGTTCCAAAGACTTTGCATGTACAGGTCTAGTTCCCGAAATCCCACGGATCCCTTGGTGACTCGGCCTCGGTCGGCATATGGAAATGAGCCGGCCTCTGCACTGATGGGAGGCTTCTGCGCCTGGCGCTTCTTGTCTGCCGGCGCCGTTTTAGCCGCCTCTGGGATGGGTTGAGGATCAGGCTCGAGGCTTTGAACATCTGAATCCGAATTTGGCATCTGAATATTTCAGTCAAGATATTGAGACGCCCTCGCGACGGCCTTGAAGGACTTAGAAAAGTCTTATGAGTCTTGCTCAAGTATCAGCGGTGCAGCTCGAAACTCCGAGACAACACAGAGGAACACATGAGCACGCATTCCAAAAATCGAAAGCTCCTGCAATCGGCGAATTGCGGAAGCAAAAAAGGACAGTTGGTAGTCAAAGAGCTGATGGGACTTTCCAATGAATCCAGGCCTCCACGAGAGTGGCATTAGCTTCGATCGCCTGCTGGGCTGCAGACTTCTCGGCAGCCTGTCGAGTTCAGAGCAGATCAGAGCAGGGGGAAGTGGCCTTGAATGTGGACACCTTGCAGGGCCTTCTGCAAACTACGCTTCTTCAAGCTGCCGAAAAGGAGGACTGATTGAAATCAGTAACCATGCACAGGCTTGGTTTGGAGTTGCCTCACTGTAGCCCGTTTCTGACCCTGCTTACAAGTCCGCACGCTGCAGTCGCCACGTGCAGCCTCATGAGAGACATGCCAAGAAGTTCTGAGACCATGAGAGCCGACCAGCCGATTTCGCCATTGTTACTGTGCTCAAAGGTAGCAGAAGCATGCTCCACCTTGGCGTCAGCCATCAGGTGTCCTGCGTACTCCTGTCCGTTGAGGCAATTGAGTCGCACGATCGCCTCCAAGGAATTCAGAGACAAGGCTAGTCGTGCTCTGACCGGGCAGCTTTGACCATCCCGGAGCTGAAACCAAAGACGCCAAAAGATGCGTCTCGTTTCCCCTCGACAGTGTCAGATACGAAGAGCAACGAGCAACATCAGCGTGCCTGAAATTGCGTTCCATACTTGCCTGCGAGCACCAGACAGGAGAGTCAGAGGGTGCCCGAAGCCAGGGCTTTTACCAGGAGGACTTGACAACGACTGCATCGCAGGTATGCAGACTTCGCTACCAAGAAGCACCTCCCGTGCAACGGATGCAATCGAGCGAGCACAGTTGCAGCATGAACCCTGAACTCAAGACATCTTGCACAAGCTGGTGTACCCAGGAACGGACAAGACTTGAACACGCACGGAGAAAGGAAACCACCATCGCTACTGCGTGCCTGTCAACCTCAGCAGCCTCAAAGCACTCAAGCACAAAGACTGTACTGAGCTGAAGATAAGCTGTCTCGCTCGAGCTGCTAACAGTGTAGGTGATGTCTGTCTTCGTCAGCGGTCGCTTGCAATGCCTTTGCTCGAGTCCGGTTCCGAGTCTGCGGCAGTAGCAACTCCGATAAGACAACTATAGACAACTGCATCAAACCAACGGTGACAGGCCATCAAGGACCTGTTGACAACAGATGGCGCATGCGGAATGGACTGACTGCAGCAAATTCAGCACAGCGTCTTCTGGAGAAACTGGTTCAACTCTTGCTTGAAGTCCATGGCGCTAAACAGTGGCTCGAAGGCCTAAAGCCTTTGAAACTCTGAGTCCTTCGTCCTAGAGCCCCCAAATCCTGACACCCAAGGCTTGACTGCGTTATTGTCACACAACCCATGCTGAACACTGCATTGGCTTTCGAAGTCGTCAAGCTCGACAGCCCACACACGTAGATTTCCGATTGACACTTGTTGCTGTTGCTTTGCAAACAGCTAAGCAAAAGCATCATGAGGCTGTGGTTATCGTTCATGGTAGTTCTTGCATGCCTTCAGGAGCATGTGTTCTAGAGATGCTGCTGCCAGTCTTCGTGCGAGCTGTATCGGGATTTGTCAAATGCCACATGCACTCGCTGGGACCTGTGTGGCCCAGGTTTGAGCTCAAGCGGCCATCAGCTTCCGAGTAGAACCAGATGTATGTGGCTTCGTTTCCCAAATTTCAGACACGAGGAGGCATCAACCTCAGCAACTTCTTCCTCACCGACCTCTGGTTTGGCCGAAGCCATATAGCGTAGACCGAAATGCCCCTTCGTTTCAAGGATCCGACCAGCTCAGCGAGCCGACAGCAAAGAACACTGTAAGTCTGTAAGTGCTGTTTTCTGAGGGCAGAGCAGCTCGGGAGCTCGGCATCTTCAGCATGGAGTCCTGCCGCAGGCACACTCCCAGCTCCAGGATCCTGTGGACAACAAAACGATCAGAGCTTGCTGAGCCCAGAAGCCTCCGGCAATCAGGAGACGTCCAATCCGTTGTGCCGTAGCAATGTCCTCAAGAATTGGCATGAAAGCTTCCCTGAAGTCTTGCACTTTTAAAACTCTCTGAAGGCCTATACCTGAAGTGATCTGACTTGCAGTTTTCAGCACTCGTTCCGCCTCTTCAGCCCCCAGTTGTCCAAGGAGGAAGTCGCGAAGCAGGAGAAGTTCTGCCTGGTGCATGGTACACAGATTCGCGTTTGGCGAAAAATCTAGGCGAAATCTGAAGGTCACCCATTCCTTGCTTGCTCGACCATGCCGATAGTCCTACGCTTTGGTCTGCCCGAGACAAGACAGCTCCGACATTTAGGTACGGGACACCGGAAAATCTGAGGACAGGTTCGGTTTGGGAACTCAGCCCAGCCGTAAAACACCTGGCCGAACGACGCCGCGACACTCTAAATAAACCTTTCGCATGAACAGGACATCCCACTCTCGCTGGCCTTCCTTGTGCGGGCATTGCCGATTCGGAAGCCGGAGGCTATTGCTAGCCTCAGTCTCTCGACTTTGGGATTGATAAGAACGACAGTGAGCTAAGGATCCAACAAAGTGACCTGGATCGAACAGATGCTGGGAATGTCACCAGTGAAGCTCCTATCCTTCCTAACGGTCATTTGGTACTCTCGGTGACGATGCTGTCAATACTGCTGCCAGCGCACAAATTCCGGGAGCGGTCAATCATGGAAAGCTCGAGGCTATCGTAGCTCGTGGTGGGGAAAAAAGCAAGAGATCTCGTGAGCACAGAACCAGCACCCCCTGACATCCTGTGACTGCTGCGGCGCAATGCTTCACCGCTTCACTCAAGACAAATAAACAGTGTGCGAGTGCACTTGTGCATTCTACAGACATGGTCCTGCTAGAGTGTCCATGAATCCTATGCCCTGGATTTGCATGTTTACATGTTTCCTGATGAGACACTCTACCTCTTCACCGAGGCCTGTTTGAAAAGAAGCACCTCTACTGCGCTTCCTCATGTGTGTGTGGCTCAAGCAGTGCTCAAAGCGCGTTCTGCACGATTTTCGGCTTCCACTCGCACAAGGTGTAGTGCTGCTCAGATTCATCCGAAACAGCATCCGTGTCAGGATCTTCCGACGAATCGAAACTTTGGAGCAACTGGCCACAGCCGCCTCCTGACATGCAGCTGACGGGGGCTCTCACAAGACAAGGTGTGTTCAGATGAAGAAACCCGGGCGTGAATCACCTCGCAGATACCCGTGCTGTGACGGTGCCAGCACTGCACCCTGAGCGATCGGCAGAGGCTGCGACCCCTTTCACTACGCACCCTGCATACTCCACAACACTGGTGCAAAAGGATGGGGTCTGTGAACAGAATTGGCAAGTCTGACACCTGGGCGGGCCGAAAGATTTGAATTTCAGACGGCCGCCCTCGAAATACTTCTGCGAAACTCCAGCACCTAGCGGCCCTAGCGCTCCCCATTGCTTTCACAGTCGAGGGTGGAGCCCACGGCAGAAAGGTTGTTCCGAAAGCCGCTGTCGTGACAGCTTTGAGGGATTCATGCAGCCATTTGGTTCTCAACGGCAGCTGGCTGCGGGATCGCACTTCATCTGGCCATCGCACTCTAAACTCCCATAGCACCCTGCTACTCAAGGGGCAAAAAGCATAAGGAAAGACAGGGCACGGGAAGAAGAAGGCCCTACATGCTGAGGGTAAATCAAGCGCGAAAGGTCCTGGGTTTCAGGACTACGCCGCCTGTGCAAAGGTGGAACTTTCAAGGAATCAAGAAGTTTTTTAGGGATGTGAGAACCAATTGAAAGAAATCGGTAGGCTCTAGCAAAAGTAATGAAACTCAGGCTCGGTCTCCACAGTTTCATGTGTCCTACACCGCATCACCGAAGGTGCGGGGGACGCAGCTAAGCCATCATCGAGCCCGAAATACACTGCTTCTCGAGTCAGCAGAGAAGTCTTCGGTTCAGGTCGCGGCCCGTATCGAACTTAGATAGCCTTTCCAAACTTTGGTAGCGCTCTGAAAGAAGGGACAAAACAGCCGTCAGAGGGGATCACGGTAGTAGCCACAGCAAGTCTTGGAGCCAGCGCTGAAGCCTGGACGCTCGGATGCCTTCGAAATGGCAACATTTCCTGAAACGGAGACCCGAATGAGAGAAGGGCTGTCTCTACAACGAGTGCCTGGGAGTTAACGGTCTCACTTGGCACTCCTGAGACAAACTTGCTAGGTTGCACACAGAAGCCAAGCAAATTGCTTGGGCGATTGGCAGTCTGACTAAAGGTGTCCCTACGCTGTGGCAAGTGGCTCTGGTTCCTTCGTGACCTCCTACAATTCCATGTCCAGGCATTCCTCAAGTTTGGCCTGGCGCAGAGTTTGTAGCAGGCAGCCACGACTGCACTCAACACAAGGGTCTCAAGAGCTACCAGGAGTGCTGAAAATCTAAAGGAACTCTCTTTAAGGACAAACACAAACTAGGAGAAAACCGTTTTCCAAGTTTTCAATTTCCTAAACAGGCACTTCGCCCCTGGCGGACGGGCCTCCGAGGTGCCATTGAGACTTTGCCGCCAGCACAGAAGTGGCAAAGCAAAGGTCAGAACGTTAACCGTTAACTGGCTTCAAGAATCCGTCTCCGGCCTAGAGCGTTCTGGCACGACCCGGCCCAAGATCAGGCAGCATGAGTCAAGGACCGACGGGCCCAAGAAAGGGTGTGACCCGCGCCTTGCCCGCGAGGCCTCAGACCCGTCGAGGCTTCCAACCTCTCGGAGGTGAAGACTGCAAGGGCTTGCTGGACCACCTGCCGGATCTCTATCACGATAACGACTCTAAGGACTCGCTATGGCTATGGCGTTGGGGGAAATTGGAAACGGTGACAAACCTCAGTCCTCAGCCTGGACGCCTTGGTTCCGGCTCTCACATTCACTGCCTGACAGATCCTGGCCGGAGACGCAAGTCCGCGGCTGAGAAAAGTTCTTTGGAACATTTTGGAGCTGGGCCTACGTCTCCTACGTGACGCTGGCACCCTTTTTCGGGAATTCATCGCAGCTTCACAAAGACAGCCGATGCGATCGGCAGGGAGACCGAAGATGCACCGAGCAGCGAGTAGTGACAGCACAGCCGCCTTTTGCTAAGACGGTGCAAGTTCTGCAAAAAGCGGCGCCAGCAGAGGAGCGGCTGCGGCTACCATCGGAGGCTTCGGAGTCATATGCCGTCCTCACGTCGTTGCGGGCGTCTGTGGCTCCTGTGGCTCCTGTGGCTCCTGTGGCTCGGCCTCTGCGCAGTGTCGTGTGGGAACCGGGAGTGAGAAGGGCCCTTTGGAAACCGCTAGCTGCTCTAGCTGATCTAGCTCCAGCTCTTCTACCTGTCGTCGCCTTTTCGGGTCAAGGAGAAATGGCTCCAATGTTTCATCAACACATTCAAGCGCAGGAATCAAGACTTCCGAGGTTACTCCGACGAAACCTTCTGGCTCGTCTTGGATTCAGCACGCACTATCCCTACAGCCAGACAGGGGCCTGTGCAATGCTCGATATGTTCTGGGAAAGCATCTCTAGGCCAATGTTCGACTTGGAAAGCACTTCTCTCGCCAGCCAGGTCTCCTGGCCCCTGCCCTGGCCCCTGAAGCAAAGCTGACCTTCCCATTTTTCGCGGTGCTTAAAGTGGCAGAGCAACCCCTCTCACCCTCGCAATGGCGACAGCAAGAGCAAGAGTGCCAGGCCGATGCAACAGGGCACTGCAATTCTTCCGCGGGCCAGCGAACGTCATCTCACGGTCTCACTGCTCTGCAGTACTGTGGAACATGAACCCAGCTTGACAAGGACTGCCAAGAGGGGGGAGATGAAGAGCCTATAGGTCGGAGTGAACACGGCTTAACGGCCTTCTAGGTGCTCACAAAAGCCGCACCAGCTGCCGGCCCGACAGCACAGGCGCAGTATGGCGTAGTGCTTCGCAGACTTAGTGCGCAGTACCCAGTGCCAAGCAGCAGCGCCGGGCCGGCGCTGTCCAGGGAGATCCCATGTCCCAGAGTCCTTGCAAGCCGTATGCACCCGCAAATGGCTCGCAGAATGCCCAACGCAAACAACTCCTCCAGAGACTCAGCTCTAGCCGACATGCAGGTATCTGAGCCCAAACGCACCTACGAAGTGTGATGTGGAGGTTGGCACCACGCATTGAAGTCAAATATTACTGCACGACGTGTTTGAACCCGAGTCAGCATCATGTGGAGGCTGCTGAAGCAGCCAAGTGCTTGAGAAGACTTAACAATCGGCGTGCAGCAGCTAAGAAGCTTGGCAACTGAACACGTGGCTCCCCCCTTCGCGACCGTTGCAAGAACGGCTTCTGCAGTTGGAGCTGCAGGTGCGTGCAGCTTCCACTGCCTGCAGAAGCGCGAAGAAAGGCGCTCGGACTCCAGAGCCAAGCTTGCAGACGTGGACGTTCTCCAAACTTCATCTGGCAGTGATCTTCCTGCTTTGCTGCTAGGCCAGGCCAGCTCAGAGTGGGGGCATCTTTAAATCAAAGATGGCAGAAAGCCTTCTGACACCCAAGAGGCCTGCAAAAGCATGCGGCGAGGTGTGGAAGTCTTGAATTTAGGCGGGCTTTTGCAGGGACAAGTGCCTTCCGCTTCGGGCTTGCACTTCTCCGCGGTCACTACCAAACCGTCCGAAAGATGTCCCCGAGCAGCTGCGGCGGACGCTCCACCAGCTGCGCTGTCAAGCCACTAACATGAACCGAACCAACCGAACCATTTTAGGCATTTTCATGACAGTCTCCAAACCGAGTGGAACTGCAGACCGGCGCATTCCTAAGAAGGGTCGCCAGATGCGCATGCCGTGGCTTCACTCTATCTACAAACTACAAGACAGGTATTTGTTTCTAGGGTGCTCTGCGCAACACAACCGAAGTGCTCGGCCTTGAAGCTCACAGCGGCAGGACCAAGCAAGTGGAAAGAGTGCGAACCCCAAAGGCTACTCTGACCCCAAGATGCATCCGAGTCGGTAATTGACCAGGATGCGTCAGCATCTTCCTCCCCATGCGAGCTTGGACTGTTTGCACACTAAGACGGTTTGAGACTCCTTGAAGTGCGAAGAAGATGCTGTTGGAATCCTCTGGCAGCATCAAGGCCGTGCAAACGGATGGTCTGAGTCGGAGAACACGCACCCTAAACCCTGCAGACCCTGCTCCCTGGAAGACTGCAAACATGGATTTTGAATCAAAACCTGGGAAGAAAGGCTTAGGCGGCTTAGGGACAAAGGCCCCGATTTTGGAGGACAGGAAACCTGCACCACAAGCCCATTCCACGTGGGCCGTGAGACACAAGCTGGGGCTGTGGTACGGGGGCTCGGGGTTTCGGAACAAACAGAATATGAAAGCTGAAGGTGCTGCAAACTGCTAGGGATCCTGTTTGCCAGACGGCACCAAAATTAGGACCTCTCAAACCCAGCACCCACACGAACACATCTCGAAGATGCCCGTTCGTCACAGGCGCAACCATTGGAAGCGAGGATGAAGACGTTGGCAGGCAGTCAAACCAGG